ACTTTATGCTGCCAATCTGACCACAGATCTCAAGTCTGTATCAGCACACGATAAGAATGCAACCACATCAGCTTTTTGCAGGAGGATGGAAGGGAGAAATATGAGTGCTGGCCAGGCGCAAATTCAGCCTTCGTGTTATCTAACCTGCAGGCATCAGAGTTACTGGAGGAGTTAATATGCAGTTCCAGTAACTGCTAAGCAAGACTATATAATCAAGAGAGCCATTTAACTTGTTAAAAGTGAGGAACATTCCACACCAAAGTACTGCCTTTCACTTATGCCCAAAGAAATCCTTCTAATAGCAACATTTAAAAGACTTTTCTCCAGACCCCATTGTACCATGTGTTTGCTCTTTTCTTCCTCTTGCAAAGCCCACTACTGAGAGACCAAAGCTGTAATTTCTTCTGCTTGTAAGTGCTCCACAGGTTTAGCTGACATTTAGAAACTACATTCTTTTCCATCACTGTCTCCTTTAAAGCAGCTGCTTTTTTAGAGCACACCCCAAGATCCGAGACTTCCTGGTACCATGGGAGAATGACAGGCAGACACATCCTGCAGCATCAAAGACCACACAGGTTCTCCAAAACATTGCCTTCCTTAGCAAGGTCGTGGCAAGTACACAAGAAAGTCATTACCAGATGTGCAAAGAGCACACCTAGCCTCTAACATGCAATTCTGTCGCTGATTGCCCCACTCTTCCCTTGGCCAGCACTCCACTATTCAGCAGTACCTGGAGCCCAGACTCTCCTGTCTAATGCTTGTTATTAGCCCTGTGTGGAGCCTTGGGCAAATCACAGGGACCAGCTATTACAAACACCCCCCTTGCACATCAGCCTGGCTTGTGCATTCACTTGAGACAGCCTGTAATTTCTTTGAATTTAAAAAGATGTTATTTACAAGCCAGTCAAGCTCTTCATTAGAGCAAAGCATTTACTGTTCACCATGTATGTACAGGTCTATACAAGATAAGGCAACTAAAAAGGACTTTGACAGTATCAGGGGCTCTACCCCCACATGCTCACAAAGGGGGAGCACACTCACCATGGAGGAACACAGCTTGCTCAAGGACAATAACCATGAGTCTGCTCAGGAGAAGTCCATGGGAATTGCCATGGTAGAGACTTGAGGAACACTTAGCTGATCCCATCAAATGACCTGCTAACCAGGGCCCAGACTGCATGGGAGGGTGGAAACTCCATCCCCCATGGATGTGATCCTGCATTAACACCTTTATGACCCTGCATGTGTAAGCCAGCCACACACATCTCGACAGCTTTTTATATACAGTAATTCTAATTTGGATGGAGCCTTTGTTTACCTTGTTTTTTCCCTGCAAGTCAGGCAGATAAGTAGCCTTCTCCCTTGAATTTACCTCCCAAACTCTACACGTCAACATCTCTCAGTTTACCAGACTGAGCATTTCCAATTTCCTTTTCACTAATATATTTAAGACCTTTGTTTAATTAAATAACATAGAAGTCCACAGGATCCATAAATTAAAAAGTCATCCTATAATTGCATAGTGGGATAATGATCTAAATTCTTTCAAATAATTCATTAGGGACTGTAGTGATAGGACAAGGGGTAACGGGTTAAAACTTAAACAGAGGAAGTTTAGATTGGATGTAAGGAAGAAGTTCTTTACTGTGAGGGTGGTGAAGCACTGGAATGGGTTGCCCAGGGAGGTTGTGAATGCTCCATCCCTGGCAGTGTTCAAGGCCAGGTTGGACAGAGCCTTGGGTGAGATGGTTTAGTGTGAGGTGTCCCTGCCCATGGCAGGGGGTTGGAACTGGATGATCTTAAGGTCCTTTCCAACCCTGACTATTCCATGAGTCTATGAAAAGCACTAATTGCTGAGCCTGACTCCACAGGTGTCAGCAGAGCCTGGCACCATGAAGTGAGGTAACAAGGAAGCAAGAAGTCCAATTTTACAGAGCAAATGAAAGAAGAAGGTGACAGAAGCTAAATCAGAGGCTCCACCGTACCAGCTCTGAAGTACCAGAGCTCTTCCTGCATGTAACATGAACCACAGTTTGCAGTTCCAAGGTTTTACAGTATCAGAGCACTGGATCTCCCCACTCAAGTTTCCTGCCTTCTAATAGAGTGTGCTTGTAGAGTAACTTGCTGGCAAATAGCAAGCAAACAGCTCCTCTTCTCCTGCAGGTACTTCATAAGCTATGGGCATGCCAGTTGTGTCCTCCCCTGGACTCTGCCTGCATTATCACACTCTTAACTCACACGTAGAAAAGATAGCAACCAGCTGTAAATGCTCAAGGGTTTCATTCCCCACTACTTCCTCCTTAATGCTGATTTGCAATTAAATGTTCTTAAAGCAGCACTGTGAACAACAATGTGAACATTTCTGCAAGCTCCACAATAAGCCTTGTTTTCAATCACTTCCTCCAACAGAAGAAAACAAACTATTTTTACAACCTGACATTCAAAGCCAACAGGCAACAAGACTAAGATAAACCAGTGCATCTTGAGGGTGATATGTGGGAGAGAGATGTGCTAAGTAGATGGGTTGAGTTTTTTTAGAGACCTGCTGAGCCACTGACCAAGAGCACAAAGAAAGTGGAATTGAGAGAGATGCTGTTCACTCAGCTGTGGAGTGGTGGCCCATGTGCTTTGGGGATCCAGAGACATAATGCACAGGCTGTACTGTAGCAGCAGGGATATAATGAGCTTTCAAAGTAAAACAGTTTCCTCAATGATTATAGGATGATCTCCTCTGCATTACTATGACAATTTAACGACACCACTGCGCTGCAGGCTGATACTGTCCAGATCATTTGAGATTCAGAAGAAATTTTTTCCACTAAGCTCAGACGGTTTAAAGACGGCAAGTTTCCCCACATACACACTTCCGATCAGGAGACAGGGAAATGCCAAATCTCAGCAGCTGTAGGCTGATCTCTCAGTTATTCCCAACGCCATTAATTCACCATCTTCCTTTCAAAGTTCACTACAGCCAATAGTTTCATTCCTGAAATTTCCCACACTCTTCAGACCCTGACACTGCCCGGGTGCACAGAAAGGGAGGAAAGGATAAAACAAAACTAAACAACCTGCTCCACACTGTGTCATGGTGAAAGTTTTCAGCTGCAAGTCTCCTCCTCAGAAACCCCTAGCTTAGAGAGGAAACCCTTCTCCCATTAAAGATCTTTCTTATTCAAAGATGGGCACTTTATATACTCACTATATAAGACATACTGAGAAATCTGTTTGGATATGAACTTAAGCTTTAACTCCACAGTTATAACTACAGTCAAGATGTGTATTCTATACTATTGATACTTTACCACAGCTTTTGATATTAGCAGGACCAAACACCACCTTCATAGCACAGGTTGTATTTAGCACACGCTATCAATTCAATACACCTTCTCCCTTTAAGAACACAGGTCCAGAAAGGCAATTACAATACTTCTATTTCTGTTACAATCAGATACTGACACCACAGTCATGTACAGTATTTGAGGCCTCTGCATAAAAACAAACATTAACAACAGGCAGTAATTTACAACATACTGCCATTATGTTTTGCTAGATGTAGGACTTTAAAGGTCTTACAATTGGATCCTAAACGTGTTGCAGTCATCTGCAGAGCATGTGAATTTAAGACTTTCTTTTGGACTCAGCTTTAACCATAGCTGATCCTGCTAGGGTTTTTAAAGAGAAAGCATGGAAAGTTGATTTAACGTAGAGTGAGTTATAGCAAAACACCAGACAAGCTCCAACATTAGCCCTTAAAGGACATTCTCATGACATTAACAAAACAAACTACTACAACAACAAAAACCCAGACTAATGAGAATCTGGACCATCTTCATTTAGACTGTAACTCAACAGCTGTTCATTAGAGGTTATTAAGCTAATAAATTTAGTACAAAAAGGTGCTCTTGAGAATGCTTAAGTGGCTTCTCAATTTTATTAGAGAGTTTGAGGATGAAAGTTCTTAAATTGTCATGAAACCCACACCAAGAGAGGCATTCACATAAACATTATTTTAAGAAATAGTGTAGTACAGAGTCACCTCATCCAAAGCTCACAACCTATTAGTCACCATCATTTCAACAGCCCCATATGTACGAGACCTTATTCTAACACTGGTTTAGTGCAGCTTTAAGTCTTTACACAATTAACTTCCTACAAAGAAATTACAAAAAGCATTAATGATAGCAACATTTCATTAATTAGTAATAAATACAACTGAATCAGTCAAACTAACCAACTCAGTAGAACTTCTGGTGCTCACAGCATGCTAATACGCTGCTAATTAAGACCATCAACATTCCTTTTAATTATTATATTGGCTTGCTGAAGATTTGATTCATATTTTACCAGCTCTCCAGTTCAGAACATATGCCATCAAAGCCTACACAAAAAGAAAAATAAAGCAATTCCATTCAACACTTGTGGAAATAAGTTCAGCATTTTAGCTTCCTGCTCCTTCTGCTTTCCACATTAGGATATGAATGCGAGAGAAAGACAAAGGAAAATGTATCTGAATGCATGCACACATTCACATACACAGCTACATATTTGGGGGAGGTTAGAAAAGGAAGTTCTGGGAAGCCTGATCTGCCTGCAGATGCTGGCTGAAGCTCACCTCCAAGATGTGAGGTCCTGGTTCAGACCTCATTCCTGCTCAATGGTACTTATCTTTTGGGATGTATATTTATGAGGAAATTAAACTCTCTTCTGCAAGCATCGTCATTTCAAAGTGCTTCCCAGCCACACAACCCAGCCATCAACACCACAACACTGCAGGCATTTTACAGCTATTTCTCCTGCTTGCAGTCCAAATATCCATGAACACTGGTGCCTTCTCTAGGTGAGAGATAGGAAGAAAACTGATGACAGTAACACTGCAAAGATCACATTAGGACCTACTCTAGAGTTTCTCCTAACTTGGAATAGTATCTGGTTTGCACCAACACAGAGATTACCCAACAAAGAAGTCAGAAAAACAGTGCTAATTAAAATCATATTCTCACCTCCTTGTATGTTGAGTTTCACAATACTTGGCTTACAAAACACATGCTTGTGTCTTAACCAGCCTTTCCTGGCAAGTTATGTTGCAGCTACATTATATTACAGCTTTCCTATAAAGTGAATGACAGTTCTTGCTCATGAGGAATGCTAGCACTCTCCAGCAGTGTGTGACCCTAAAAGAGACAGCCTTACTATTTTAACAGGAGTGAAGTACCACATGACAGATCCTTTTTGTGGTTCTTTTTAGTTGTCATTTGAAACATTTTAAATATAAACGTAGAAAGAAGTTTAGACAAACTGTCTTCTCAACCTTGTTTTAAACAATCTTAGCATTAGAGACACAATAATGGTACTGGAACAGTGGAGAGGATCCTTTAATAGAAGAAACTCGTTTGTGCTCTGCAGTGGACAAGGACAATAATCATTCTGAAGCATCTGCAGCCTGAGAGAGTCAAGTAAAGGATATATAGTGACTACATGTACATCAGAACCAGAAGAATTCTGGATTCCTCCATAATCTGGTGCCTCTGAAGCCAGAGGCTGCGATTCAACCAGCAGTAAACAGAGCTTTGTCTTCCAGAATTTGAGAACAATATATATTGAGAACAAATCCTCACAGGACTGGACTGCTTCAGTGTTCACAAGATTTGTGTCTCATCAAGTGTAAAGTTAAAGAATAAATCAGCAAATCACCAGTTCAGATGCATATCTCTAAAAGCAAAATGACAACGATTTCTACTATACTACAGCACCTCTTCAACCACCAAAGAGCCACTTAGCAGATCCTCCCATCTGCTTTCTTCCCTGCTTGGATTGCTTCAAGTCTAACAGAGCTTCTGAGCAAGCTGTGTGCTTAACAGCAAATACCCTGAAGAGCTGTCAAGCTAGGATTCAGAAATTGTCAAGTATAACCTCATGAGAATTTACCTTGAGGCAGAAGAGGGAGATGAGAAACAAAACTATCACCATTCTTCTTTTGCTAGACATATTTTGAAGTATTAGAAAAATATCTAAGGGTTTCACATACATTAAAACTGAAGAATGGCCTTTAAGCAGTAGAGAAACTTCAGTTTCGGATAGATACATATCTTACCAATCCTTCATTCACCCTCTCATTCCCACTTTAGTTCCATTTCTACAATATTAGTTTCCTTTAAGACTGAACACTGCCAGGAACAAGAGGTTTCCAGTGGGTGTAAGAGTTGCATCTGAGAACTTGTAATACTGAGATTGTAATCAGTCCTTCCTATGGACCAAATTGAAGCACACAGTCATCAATTTACTCTCATCAGCCAGAGACCTCATACTGTTACAGGAAGTGCGAGCAGCTCACAGTAACCAAGTCACTCTTCAGTGGGGAGAGAGAGGGGAAACATTCATCTGAGATGGCTCTCACAAGAATCCACATCCACGTGAGCTAACCAGGTCTTTGCCCTTTGCAGCAGTTGGCTTAGAAACATGGGATTCCTGTTGTTAACCTGTCTTGATAACGACAGCACAGTTCATTTCCCCCAGCAACAGGGCAAAAGGAGAGTGAATCGCTATATGCATGCCTGCCCAAGTTCTTTGCACAATCAGACTTTTTTTAACCAGGCAAGAAGCACAACTGTATCCACACATTACGTGTACAGTGTCAGTACCCCTTCCAAAAGGGTTTCTTACCAGGGCATGTTCCCAGGGAAAGAAATTTGCTCCAAGAAGAAAAGTTCCCTAGAATCTGACCCCCTTTATCTCCTCAAAAGGAACCAACAGCAAAAATTCTTCAGTAATTACGTTTTTTCCAGGGGACTTTAGCCAGCGATGGAGACATCTGAGGGGTATAATCCCTCCCAGTGCAGTATTCCTTGAAGGGCTGAAATCCAAACGAGAATGTGCCTGGGATGGGAAAGTAAGGGGGGGAAGGGGGGAAGGATAGAAATAGAGGCATTAAGGAGGACAACCGTTCTGTTGGTAGATAGGCTCATGGTGAAAGGGGATTATGATGATTAAAGAAACTTTTAAAAAAGCCTCTTTAAAAAGGAGAAAAAACTCCCCACATTACAAGAAACAGAACAAACAAAAGTGTCCTGGCAGAAAACGCTGCACTCCACTGGGCCCCGCACATGGAAAATCCCTCAGAAATCCCAGTCCTTTGTTTGGATTTCATGTTACTTGTCAAGGGAGGAAAAGTGCTCTGCACATCTTTGTGTTTTACCCGTATTTCCCTTTTATCTTGGGGAGTTTCACATTCATTTTAAGTTTTGGGTGCAAAAAAGCACAGTCTGGCTTACGTCTCAAAGGCTTTCTCAAGCAGATGGTAAGTCTTGTACACTGACACCAGCAACTAATCCTCCCTGTATTAGGCAAAGAAACATCTGGCAGATCAAGTTTTTCACTACATAGAGCAGCAGGTCGAGATGCATATGCCCTGCAAAAGACAAGGGCCAGAAAACATTGTTCAGGTCACTATGACATCTTTTCCATTAAGAACTCTTACAATTTGATGGTAAATTAAGCAAATAAATCTACTCAATTTACTCAGAGACCCAAGACTGCTCTCCTAACGGACAGGCTTTCTCTGCCTTCTCCAAGCTGTGTGAAATGCCAGCTCCAACCTCCAAGAGGCTTGACAACAACCATATGGAGGATGCTGTTGGACTCTTTCCCCTGCCCTGAACAGCCATGGCAAGGACCAAGCCTGGGACATACCTCTCATGGACCATTTCATCCTCCTGGAAAAGCAGATGGCAGAAGGAATGTGCATGTTGCAATGTGCATACAGATGTGCTGGTATTTGTGAACCAGATTGCCAGCTATCAACCAGCTATTAGGTTGCCAGGGCTTGCTGTTACACTTTCAGAGGACTGTGGATTTGGTTCAAGCACAAAACTTCTGCAAGTGTTTCGCACTACAAAACTATCTGAAAATTGATGCCTCAATTTGTGCTGGTAAAATTAAACTGCTAGAGGGTTTAGGCTGCTTTAGACAGACCTATATTACTTCACCCACTTGAAGAAGCCACCTGTGCCCTCTCCATTACAACTCCAACACTGGAACAACATTTGGCATGGAATTATTAGTCAAAAGTAAAAGTGAATTACTCCCAAGACTCCCAGGTCTCCACATGCTGATAAGCTATTTAACCAGTCAGCTATTTTTAGCTCTGCCAAGAAATCAGGATGCTGCTCACAAAACACTTCACCTTAAAATATAATTGCTTTCCTCAGATGACATTGTCAGGATCTGTTCTTTTCACCTTTAATGTGAAGCTTCAAAGAAAAAGAGATAAGGTGGTTTATTTGAGAAAGTAAAGACCATTCCTAATGGTAGAGAAATGAATGTATAATAGCCTTAAATTTCACTTTAATGCTACCAAGTGATTTATCACTCTGTGAAAAGATGTTGAAAACTAATGGATGTAAAATAACAGGGAGGAGGCAAATTGGTCAAGAGTAACAAAAGGAGCAGCACTGCACTGCCTTTCACCAAGCATTTCTGAACCAGCTTTTGGAGAAGCTCTTCTCATGGCTACAACCTCAAAACCACACAAGAGCTTCAGATGATTTGAGGGTCATGTCTTCAGCGCCTACACTGCTCACAAAAGGCCTTCTGCCTTCAATCAACTGCCCACGGCCTCAGAAGAACCCAAGACCACCCTTAACAGCACAATCTCCAATACCAAACCATCTATATCTATACCCTGCCACACTCTTACCCTGATAGCATCTTGCCCATCTCCTCTTCTTTTGATCCCTCAGATCCCACACTTACCATCTCCCACACACAAATGCACTATCACTGTCTCCTAGTCTCAAAAAGCCCCTCTCTAACATACAAAGTTTTGCTCTAGCTGTCCACTCTCCCTAATCTCCACAAGCCCTGGAATTTTGATCTTCTCAGGCTTAGAATGAATGAGACAGTCTGAGGTTTCAAGAGATTTGAAGACGTCTGATTCCTGCTTAGGTCTCTGGGATGTTTATGTAAGCCCAGAGAAATGCCATTTAAAGCAGTATTACTTCGGGTGTTACACAGCATCACCGAGATAAACCCCAGTTCTGCTGCACATAAAGCAACAGGCTCATTCATGGAGCAGCATAAATAAAACCAGAAACACCCCACCACCAGAACACCAAGTGATCAATGTCTAGCAAGACATTAACTGAAGAATCAAACAATAACCTATGCTACACTTGTGTTACCAAAACCAGAATGGGCACAATTAACCTTGTGAAGTGACAAGAGAAATCTTTCCTGTATCACAAATCACCTTCGTCCTCAGCACATCTTTTGACTGTCACACTCACATTTGCAGAAAGGATTCATCTTTATCTGAAGCTGTAATTGAATGCTGGTAGTTACCTTGGTGACATTTAAAAATCTATGGCTGTGCTTTCCTGTCAACACTTTATGATAAAGTGCCTTGTGGAACAAGTCAGAACACAGCTTAGGAAATAGTTCCTATGACAACTATATGAATTGAGGAGATGGCAAAGATCCCAAAATGTCAAATGGACAGTAGCATGCAGGTAAAGAAAATCCAGGCTGAAGTCAGTGTGCTTCCTAAAGCTGTGCTGAACTGCAGCTCAGAGCCTGGCTCCAGCCACGTCCATAATGCAACAGTCCCCAGCCCTTGAGGTACTTTCCATTTTCACTGAGACTGCCAAGAGCCCTGAAATTCATTAAGCAATCAATTCAGCTGATTTCAGCAGACCTCTGTTGGGACTAATCATTAAGAATGAGGGAGGAAGAGCCAGGCTTCCTGTGAATAGTTTGTTGTACTTCAGATATTAAATAAGAGTTGAGAATTTAATTATCGGTCAAAATACAGGACTCCCATTCTGCTTATGACAGCATGTCCATTTGCTTTCAGATACTGGAACAGAGCAGCTCTGGAGTCACATTCAGTCTGTATTTACAAACTGATTGTTCATCAGTAACTCAGACAGATTTATTTCATTGTCACTGGTCCACAACTACATGCTCCGGGTCTAAACAAGACACTTGGAAGCCAACACACCCTGCCAAAGCTGAGTCTCCAAATGGCAGCCTATTTACTGCAAAGTCATCCCTGGGTCCTTTCCCAGGAAGGACACGAAGTCATCCCTTGAGGAGGTGTGGGGTCAGTTCCATCCCGAGTACATGGTTGCTGTACTCCATGCATGGCATGGTGGTC